GACTGAGCCACCGTCTGCCTGGCCTGGAGGACCTCCCTGGAGGACTGAGCCACCTTCTGCCTGTGCTGAGGACCTCCCTGGAGGACTGAGCCACCTTCTGCCTGTGCTGAGGACCTCCCTGGAGGACTGAGCCACCTTCTGCCTGTGCTGAGGACCTCCCTGGAGGACTGAGCCACCTTCTGCCTGTGCTGGAGGACTGCCTTGGAAGACTGAGCCACCTTCTGCCTGTCAGAGGACCTCGGCCTGCCTTCTGCCTGTCCTGGAGGACCTTGGTCCTGCCTCCAATGACTGCTGCTTGTCTTGGAGGACCGAGTCACCTCCCGCCTGGGCTGGAGAACTTCATCTCCACCTCAATCTTCTGCCTGTGCTGGAGGACCTCAGCCTGCCTTCAATGACTGCCGCTTGTCTCGGAGGACCAGGTTATCTGCTGCCTGTCCTGGAGGACCTTCTCTCCACCTCAGAGGACCAAGTCACCTTCTGCCTGTCCCGGAGGACCTCGGGTCCCACCTTGGAGAACTGTTGCCCTCTGCCTGGCCTGGAGGACCGAGTCACCTTCCCCCTGGCCTGGAGAACTTCATCTCCACCTCATCTCCTGCCTGTCCTGGAGGACCTCCTCTCCGTCTCAAGAGAACCAAGACACCTTCTGCCTGGCCTGGAGGACCACCCTGGAGGACTGAGCCACCTTCTGCCTGTGCTGGAGGACCTCAGCCTGCCTTCGATGACTGCCGCTTGTCTCGGAAGACCAGGTTATCTCCTGCCTGTCCTGGAGGACTTTCTCTCCACCTCAGAGGACCCAGACACCTTCTGCCTGTGCTGGAGGACCTCCCTGGAGGACTGAGCCACCTTCTGCCTGGCCTGGAAGACCTCCGTTCCACCTTGGAGAACTAAGTCACTTTCTGCCTGTCCTGGAGGACCTGACCTCCATCTTCTGCCTGTCCTGGAGGACCTCAGCCTGCCTTCGATGACTGCTGCTCGAGGCAGCAGTGTCTTGGCACAAGAGGGCACGAGGACCACCCTGGAGGACTGAGCCACCTTCTGCCTGTGCTGGAGGACCTCAGCCTGCCTTCGATGACTGCTGCCTGTCTTGCAGGACCTTATCTCCACCCGAGGACCAGGTTATCTCCTGCCTGTCCTGGAAGACCTCCTCTCCATCTCAAGAGAACCAAGACACCTTCTGCCTGTCCTGGAGGACCGCCTTGGAGGACTGAGCCACCTTCTGCCTGTCCTGGAGAACCTCTGTTCCACTTTGGAAGACTAAGTCACTTTCTGCCTGTCCTGGACGACCTGACCTCCACCTCCATCTTCTGCCTGTCCTGGAGGACCTCAGCCTGCCTTCGATGACTGCTGCCTGTCTTGGGAGGACCAGGTTATCTCCTGCCTGTCCTGGAGGACTTTCTCTCCACCTCAGAGGACCAAGTCACCTTCTGCCTGTGCTGGAGGACCTCCCTGGAGGACTGAGCCACCTTCTGCCTGGCCTGGAAGACCTCCGTTCCACCTTGGAGAACTAAGTCACTTTCTGCCTGTCCTGGAGGACCTGACCTCCATCTTCTGCCTGTCCTGGAGGACCTCAGCCTGCCTTCGATGACTGCTGCTCGAGGCAGCAGTGTCTTGGCACAAGAGGGCACCACACCAAGGCAGGTGTCTTGGAGGACTGAGCCACCTTCTGCCTGTCCTGGAGGACCTCAGCCTGCCTTCAATGACTGCTGCCTGTCTTGGGAGGACCAGGTTATCTCCTGCCTGTCCTGGAAGACCTCCTCTCCATCTCAAGAGAACCAAGACACCTTCTGCCTGTCCTGGAGGACCGCCTTGGAGGACTGAGCCACCTTCTGCCTGTCCTGGAGGACCTCTGTTCCACTCTGGAAGACTAAGTCACTTTCTGCCTGTCCTGGACGACCTGACCTCCACCTCCATCTTCTGCCTGTCCTGGAGGACCTCAGCCTGCCTTCGATGACTGCTGCCTGTCTTGGGAGGACCAGGTTATCTCCTGCCTGTCCTGGAGGACTTTCTCTCCACCTCAGAGGACCAAGTCACCTTCTGCCTGTGCTGGAGGACCTCCCTGGAGGACTGAGCCACCTTCTGCCTGGCCTGGAAGACCTCCGTTCCACCTTGGAGAACTAAGTCACTTTCTGCCTGTCCTGGAGGACCTGACCTCCATCTTCTGCCTGTCCTGGAGGACCTCAGCCTGCCTTCGATGACTGCTGCTCGAGGCAGCAGTGTCTTGGCACAAGAGGGCACCACACCAAGGCAGGTGTCTTGGAGGACTGAGCCACCTTCTGCCTGTCCTGGAGGACCTCAGCCTGCCTTCAATGACTGCCCCCCCCCCGCCCCCTTCAAACCACCCCGGAGGACCAAAGCAACCACCAGGCCAGCCTGGAGGACCGAGGTACACCCAAGCTCGGCCCCCCCGGAGGACCCTGGTCCTCCTCGGAGGACCAAAGTACCGTCGACCCACCCTGGAGAAGCAACAACCTGTCCCGAAGGACCCCATCCCCGCCTTGGAGCGCCCAAGTACCCTCAGCCGTCGCCGGAGGACCGTGTGAGAAGACCCGACGACCCTCACTTCACCCCGGAGGACCTCACCCCACCTCGGAGGACCCAGGTACCCTTCAAGCCCACCCTGGAGGACCCCAACCACCTCCTGGAGGACCCCAGCACCCCTCGGCCCACCCTGGAGAACCCCAAGCATGTCCCAGTGGACCCCAACACCCCCTCAGCCCACCCCGGAGGACCCTAACCACATCCTGGAGAACTCCAACACCTCTCAGCCCACCCCGGAGAACCACAACACCGCTCAACCCACCTTGGAGGACCCCAACCACGTCTCAGAGGACCCCAAACCCTCTCAGCCCACCCCAGAGGACCCCAGCGATCTCCTGGAGGACCCCAACATCCGTCAGCCCACCCCTAGAGGAGCCCAACCACGTCCTGGAGAACCCAACACCCCTCAGCCTACCCCAGAGGACCACAACCACGTCCCAGAAAACCCCAACACCCCTCAGCCCACCCTGGAGAACCTCAACGACCTCCTGGAGAACCCCAACACCCCTCAGCCCACCCCGGAGGACCCCAAC